GAATAGAGGAGGGAATGGCAGTGGTGGGGCTATTCACCAGGAGACCACTCGGCCCACGAGGCCCTTGCGTGGCTTGGCTGGCACCATCTCCTTCTGGACCATGAAGTAGGGGTACAGCACGTCAATGGGCAGCTCCACAAACACTGGACCTGCAGGGGCAGGGAGGACGCTGAGTCCACAACATGTCCCCAGCCCCTCGGCCCCAGCACTGCTCAGCATCACCATCCTCCACCTACCTGGGGTGCCCGACTGGGCAGCAGCCATCGCCGCCCTCAGGGTGGGCACAATGTCCCGCACCCTCCGCACAGACGCACAGAACTTACAGAGTGGCCGGAAAAGGGACAGCTGATCAATAGCCTGGAGCGCACCCCGGTTCTGGCAAAGACAGAGGTGTGGTAGGGTTACCACATGAGCCCTTTAAGCCCCACCTAGGCCCCCACCAGCCCCCAAGGACTGGGTACCTGCAGCAGAGTACTGGCGGCCCCACCCAGAAGCAGGACTGGGGACTGAGCCATCTGAGCATTCTTCACCGCCGTCACTGTGTTAGTGAGGCCAGGGCCTGCTGTCACTGCCGCCACGCCCACCGTTCCTGGAACACAGAGCCCATCACAGCCATGCCCACTCTCTTGGCCATTCTCCCACTTCTGAAAAACCCCAACCCTCACAGACACTGTATCCCACAGTCCAACCAATCCCCAGCCCTCTCCGCAATGCTCTCACCGGACAGGCGGGCCATAGCATCAGCAGCAAAGACGGCCGTGACCTCATGGCGTGTGTCCACCACACGGATGCCCAGTTTCTCACAGGCCACCAGCAGTGGGGAAATGTGCCCACCGACCAGCGTGAAGATGAACCGCACGCCATGGGCCCTCAGCACAGCGGCCACGTTCTCTCCACCATGCCGGACGCTTGCCTTGTCCACCTGGGCCCAAGGACAGGTGGAGCAATAAAGTTAAAGGTCAGGGCAGAGGGCAGCTGGGAAAGGGGGCAATCCCCCTGCCCCAGGTAAGGGGGCAGGAGCAGGGTGAGAGGTCAAGAGAAGCTTGGTCTTGGTTAGGCATATATTATACTACACACCAGGCTCAAAGCAAGGCATAATATCTTATCAGATCCTCTTGTCATTACATCCCTCTTAAGCTGAGGACATCAAGACTTGCCCAAGTAAGAATGAAAGTCCAATAGAACCCACGCTCTTAAGTGCCCCACTGTTACACTGCCTGTCTCCAGGATGGCAGGGCAATCAGGGAGAGAGGAGACGGTTATATAACCCAGGGAGTTTGCCAGGGAGCCATCTGCTGTGACTCCTGACTGTCCTCCAGTATCCCTGCAGGGCCTGGCAGCTGGGCTCCTGATTCCAGCCTCCCTGATACCCTCCTGATAGACGCTAAACAGGCCCAGGGCTTAGTTGACAGGCTGCCAGCCACCATGTGCCTGGCATAGGAGTGAGCTGCTGGCATAGACAGTGCCGAGGCCTCCCAACTCCAGCTGCCTCACAGTCCTACACATCCAAGGCTTGCTTTAAATCTCTGCAAGTCCTGAAGGTCAGTGGCATGACTCTTGGCTAGCAGAGGAAGGATCAGAGAAGGGTTTGGGGAGGGAGAGGTCAAGCTTGGTCCCTGCTAGGAGAGAAAGGGTTAAGAAGGAAGTCTGAGGAAGGGGTAAATTTCAAACAGGTGCAAGGAGTTCGGGGGAAGCCTGTGGGGTCAGCTCTTTCCAAACATGTCACCTAGGGCAACCCACCACACAATCTCTCTGAGCCTCAGCTTCCTCTTGCAGAAAATGAGTCAGAAAGAACAGCACCTACTTTCAAGGAAAAGGTTAACGGGTAGATAAGAAAGTCTACAGTATTGTCAGCAGAGGGCAACTGTTATGAAACTCACTGCCACCCCCTTGCTGGTGCCTGCCCTCTGCCGCATTTATCCCATCCAGTTTAGGGGTGCTGTCCATCTGTTCTGTGAAAAGAGTCACTGGGGAAGGAGGTAGGTGGGGTGCAAGTGCCCGGGCAGCGGCAGCTTCCATGTTGTCTCTCACTAGTGGCAAAGTCCAGGCCTCCATACGCAGCGTGGCAATGGAGTCAGGGCCCTGGACACAGCCTCTTACCAGTCCCTCTGGACTAGTCGGGGCTCGCTTTCCCACCCTGCACAATGAGTGAGCTGGAAGCAGCACCACGAGGTCCCTCCCTCTTTGACTGCCCCCAGCCCACCTCCCATTCTGTGTCCCGCACCTTGTGCAGCAGCTGATAGAAGAGCCCCAGGCGGTGCGCGGCGCCCAGCAAGGCGGCCACCAGCGTCCCGCAGGCCAGGAGCAGGAAGGAGGGGAATAAGCTCCCGGCAGGGGCGGCGGCCGCGGGGGTCTCCATGAGGTGGCACCTAAGAGAGAAAGGGCACTTCCCAGATTTGGGCGCGACAGGGAACCTATCCGGAAGAAATCGCGCCCCCTCTCTCAGCCCGGATTCAGGACCACGCCCCTTGCCGCCAGTTTCTGTGCGGCCACGCCCCCAACCCTGCCAGTCCACGCCCTTTGTGCGCCTAGGCTCGGAGTGAAGCCACGCCTCTCTGTGACAAGGTCACGCCCCTCGCGGGGCTAGCCCCAATCCTTTATGTTACCACCACTCCCACCCAAACTAGCCACCACAGGTCAAAGCGGCGACGACAGCACCACAGAGTTATCTTCCACTTACCTACCTGTCAATGGACAGGCAGAAGCCCGTCCTCTCTTTCCACAACGGGACCCCAAAACTCAGCCCCAGGAGTGAGCCCGCCCCACGGTACGTCACCAAGAGGCACGAGGTCACGCCCCCAGGTTAGCTGGCACGACCCTCCACGCAAGCCACGCCTCTCCCTTAGAGAGCGCACGGGCCCGAGCCTGGACCCAGACCCCGGGCTACGGGTCGAGGTCACATCGCATCAGGATGTGGTTCTCCCACACCAGCTCGACCCCCGAGGCTATGCACTTTCACCTCTAGGCTATGGCGTTGCCTCCTGCAGAATTCGGCCAGCTCCGTGTCACGTGACCCGAGAGCCCGTCCTTGCCCGGGTCGCCCACTTGGCTCAGCGGCGCCCCGTAGTCCGGCCCGATGCGCATGCGCACAGTCGGAGCCACGCTCCGGGGCCACCCGAAAGAGCCTTGCCTCTACTGGCCGCCTGGCGCACAGACCCCGCCTCCCCTCGCCTTTCATTGGCTCGCACTGCAGGCCTCGCACCCATTTTATTTTTTTTAAACCTGGAGGCCACGCCCCCCGGCGGCTTCAGGAGCCCAGACCTTTGGGGGCCCACCTTCCGCAGCCTTCCATTGGTCAAACAATGTAATCCCGTAGGTTCAGGCCGTCCGAACACAGCTCGCTTTCCACACCAGCGGGGCTGTATGTACCACTGCACTCTAGCCTGGGCGACAGAGCAAACCGTGTCTCACAAAATAATAATACTTAAAATGGTAAATTTTATGTTATGTATGTTTTCCACACTATAAATGAATATTTATGCATATATATGTGTATATTTTTTATATAATATAGTAGCAAGCAAAGGAACTCAAATTGAGTCACATTCTATAAAATGCCTAACCAGACCTCTCCAAAACTGTCAAGGTCATGAAAAATAAAGAAAGACTGAGGCACTGCCACAGACCAGAGGCAGGAAAGGAGATGTGACAAGTAAATTCAATATAGTACCCTGGACTGGATCCAGGAATCAAGAAAAGGACAAATTTGCGGATAAAGCTAGTGAAATCCAAATAAAGTCTGGAGTTAACAGTAATGAACCAGTGTTAATCTTTTTGTTTCAGTAAATGTATTATGGTTATATGTTAACATTCAGGGAAGCTGGATAAAGAGTAGATAAAAATTATCTTGCTATCTTTACAGCTTTTCTGTAAAGCTAAAAAAAAAAAAAAAAGTCTTAGTAGCAAGGATACAGTTTTCCAGAGAGAGAGAGAGAAAGATGTTGTAATAGGTGTAAATTCTTTCTTGGGAGACAAAGCTTTAACACGCTCCAAGACTAATTATCTGTCGTATCTCTCCCCAGATAAAGAAGATTGTCACTAGAGAAATGTCCAAAAACCTTCTCAGCCAAAGGCTGAAACAAATCAACAGTCCCTGAAACAAATATACACAGAGGACAAGTGACTTTTTTAAAAAGGGAAATGAGCCTGGCACGGTGGCCCATGTAATCCCAGCACTTTGGGAGGCCAAGGCAGGAGGATCGCTTGAGGCCAGGAATTTGAGACCAGCCAGGGCCAAAAAGTGAGACCCTGTCTCTCAAAAAAAAAAAAAAAAAAAAAAAACCGGCCGGGCGTGGTATCTCACACCTGTAATACTAGCACATTGGGAGGCTGAGGCGGGCGGATCACGAGGTCAGGAGATGGAGACCACGGTGAAACCCCGTCTCTACTAAAAATACAAAAAATTAGCCGGGCACGGTGGTGGGCGCCTGTAGTCCTAGCTACTCGGGAGGCTGAGGCAGGAGAATGGCCTGAACCGGGAGGCAGAGCTTGCAGTGAGCCGAGATCACACCACTGCACTCCAGCCTGGGCAACAGAGTGAGACTCCATCTCAAAAAAATAAAAATAAATAAGTAAATAAATAAACTTAGCCAGGAGGCGGAGGTTGCAATGAGCTGAGATCACGTCATTGCACTCCAGCCTGGGCAACAGAGTGAGACTCCATCTCAAAAAAATAAAAATAAATAAGTAAATAAATAAACTTAGCCAGGAGGCGGAGGTTGCAATGAGCTGAGATCACGTCATTGCACTCCAGCCTGGGCAACAGAGCAAGACTATCTAAAAAATTAAAAAAAAAAAAAAAATTAGCTGAGCATGGTGGCAGGTGCTTGTTATCCTGGCTGCTTGGGAGGCTGAGAAGGGAGGATTGCTTGAACCCAAGAGGTCCTGGCTACAGTGAGCTGTGATCATGCCACTGCACTCCAGCTTGGGCAACAGAGCAAGCAAAAAGACCCTGTCTCTTAAAAAAAGGGGCGGGGGTGGGGCAGGAGAGGGAACAAATACCATGTATCAAAATTGATTGATATTTAAAGAGAAGTGCAACAAATTATAGAGTTAGAGGGATACAGTAAGGGCCTCTCTTAAGACGAGCAGGAGGACTCTCTAAGTAGGTGAGAGTTGAGCAGAGAGACCAGGAGGAAGTGAGGACAAGGGCCCCACAAGAATCTGGGGAAAGAGTAATCCAGGTAGAGGAGATGGCACGTGTAAAGGCCCTCAAGTGGTTTATTAATTTCCTTTGACAGCCATAATACATTACTACACATTGGGTGGCTTGAAACAACAGGAATTAATTTTCTTACACTCTGGAGGCCAGAAATTCAGCGTGGAGGCATCAGCTGAGCCATACATTCTCTGAAGATCTCTGGGGGAGGATCCTTACCTCCTCCAACTTCCAGAGGCTCCAGGCATTCTTTGGCTTGTGGCTGCGTCACTCCAGTTTCTGCAATATCTTCAGATGGCCTTATTCCCTGTGCCTGCATCTACTTCTTTTTTTTTTTTTTTTTTTTTTTTGAAACAGAGTCTCACTGCGTCTCCCAGGCTGGAGTACAGTGGCGCGATCTTGGCTCATGGCAACCTCCACCTTCTGGGTTCAAGCAGTTCTCCTGCCTCAGCCTCCTGAGTAGCTGGGCTTATAAGCACACGCCACAACACCCAGCTAAATTTTTTTGTATTTTTAGTAGAGACGGGGTTTCACCAAGTAGACCAGAGTGGTCTCGAACTCCTGACATTGGGCAATCCACCTGCCTCAGCCTCCCAAAGCACTGGGATTACAGGCATGCACCACCAAGCCCAGCCCTCCTCCTCTATGTCTTATAAGGACACTTGATGTTGCATTTAGGTACCACCCTAATCCAGGATAGCCTCATCTTGAGACCCCTCACTTCTGCAAAAACATTTTCTAAATTAAGTCACATTCGCAGGTTGTGAATGTACATTTTAGGGTCTACCATTCAACTCATTACAAATGGGTTGGGCTTTGCATGTGCGGAGAAAGTCAGGAAAGCCAGGATCGCTGGAAGAAAGAGAGCAGAGGAGGCAGGCAGGAAATGCTATCAAAGGCTGGACAAAGGCCAGACAGGTGTGATTTTACAGACTGCAGGAGGACTGCAAATTTTATTCTAAGTGAATTGGAAAGCCAGAGAGGATTTTGAACAATATGCAACTACACACAATCTGCACGTGCTTATTCATAGGAGCTCTATTTGCAATAGCTGAAAACTGGGGGAAAAAAAAATCCCTTAAGAAAGGAATAAACTGTGATTCACCCATACCATGAAACACTGCTCAGCAATAAAGAGGGCAAACTACTAAAACACGACAGGCCAGGTGCAGTGGCTCACGCTTGTAATCCCAGCACTTTGGGAGGCCTAGGCGGGTGGATCACCTGAGGTCAGGAGTTCGAGACCAACCGGATCAACATGGTGAAACCCTGCTCTATTAAAAATATAAAAAATGAGCCAGGCGTGGTGATGGGTGCCTGTAATCCCAGCTACTCAGGAGGCTGAAGGAAGAGAATCTCTTGAACCCGGGAGGCAGAGGTTGCAGTGAGCTGAGATCGTACCATTGTACTCTAGCCTGGGTGACAAAGCAAGACTCCATCTCAAATAAATATATATATATATGTGTGTGTATGTGTGTGTGTGTGTGTGTGTATATATATATATAAAACTAGCCAGGCATGGTGGCATGCAGCTGTAGTCCCAGATACTGGAGGCTGAGGCGGGAAGATCCCTTGAGCCCAGGAGTTCGAGGCCGCAGTAAGCCAAGATTGTCCTACTGCACTCCAGTCTGGGAGACAGAGCAAGACCCTGTGTCTTGCTAAAAACATAAAATACAACAAAACAGAAAAGCAGAGAAACACACAACACTTTGGATAAATCACAACATAGCCTGATTGAAAGAAGCCAATCTTGGCCGGGTGTGGGGCTCATGCCTGTAATCCCAGCACTTTGGGAGGCTGAGGCGGGTGGATGACCTGAGGTCAGGAGTTCAAGACCACCCTGACCAACATGGTGAAACCCCGTCTCTACTAAAAATATTAAAAAATTAGCCAGGTGTGGTGGTTGGCGCCTGTGATCCCAGCTACTCAGGAGGCTGGAGCAGGAGAATCACTTGAACCCAGGAGACAGAGGTTGCGGTGAGCCAAGATTGTACCATTGCACTCCAGCCTGAGCAACAAAAGTGAAACTCTATCTCAAAACAAAAAAGAAAGAAGCCAATTTCAAAGGTACCACTAATATGATCCATTTATACGATATTCTCCAAGAGTGATAAAACCATGCTGTGGGAGGAGAGATCAGTGTTGCTAGGGGTTAGGGAAGGGTATTAGAATAAAAGGGGCAGCATAGAAGGTTTTGGGGGTGATAGAACTGTTTTGTATTGTGGTGGTTGCTTATGTTACAATTCTAATTATGATAGTGGTTACCTATGTTAACATTTTTATTGAACTGAACTCTGAAAATGTTCAATTTTACTGCATGATTCTGTAAAAGCTAATATTACATACATATAATTTTATACATATATGTGTAAATAAATAATTATATGCACACACACAATGTCCATAAAGAAATAGTATTGTTTAAAGACACACTGGTGCCAAACCAAAGTGGTCCCTTGAAGTAACCAGAAGGTTTGAAAGAGAACTGGAAGAGGGACTCAATTTCTGCCTGTTCAGTTCAAAGGCGTCTTTGATGTTACTCGCAGGAAACGCTACTGTTAAGTGTTTCAAGTCTGGGGAAGCAACGCACTTACCACACCCTCATATCCTCGTCAATCTTTATTTTTATGAGTTTCGTAGTAAGTATAGAGTCTGGAAATGTCACAGAGGGAAGCGATCATCAATGTCAGTTCCTCTCTTTGATGACTTGTGAGGCACAGAGGCGGGTGATCTCTGCAAGTCCCAGCGAGTGGTTCAGAATTAAACTGGTTCCCAGATTTCCTGACTCTTCCCAGTGGGCATGAAATGCCTGTGTTTCTAAACGCTCCTACAGCCTTTGAGAAGGCTCCTAAGGCACTTAGAGCTCCTTCTAAACTGATGCAGGCCCCTAATCCTGGCTTTCATCTCCTTGGGCCAAGGACAGCATTGCGTAGGCTTCC